GTAGATATCATGCACATACAATGCAGTGTATTTTCAGTCTGCTTAGTGCAAGACCATCTCTTGTTCTTTAATACATGACTGGATTACCATATAGGTAAAGTGGGTAAGGAATCCCAGGGGCCCTAAAACCCCAGGTCTGTTGTTAGTAGGTTGTAATTTGATTAATGGAGGATTTCTTTACTAAAATGTCAAATAATGTGGACTGTACCTGAGCTCAATTGGAGTATTCAGGTATCACCTGAGGGCATCAGCATTCTGTCAGGAAGTAAACACTGTGAAAGCCACAGAGTGTTTTTCTTCTCTACCTTCCACTGGAAATTAATGTGTCATGTCATGCAAAAATGAAAGCAGTGGAGTGTGCAGGGCTTTTGAATGTGCAGGTATCACTTTGGTAAAATTTAAATCAAATGTGCTTTTAATTATAGCTTTTAAAACTAAAATCATAGTTGGGTGTTCTCTGCTGTCTAATACTGTCATCAATTGAAAACTGCAGCGGGCTGCTGGATAACACAGTAAGTGCAGTGACTGATTGAGCAGATGTCACTTGGACTAAATCTTGTGATTTCCTGAGGAAAGAGAATATGCTTCAGTAGATTTATAAAGTTCTGCTTCAGTGGTTTCACAGTCTCAGTGTCTTGTTGGGGAAAATGCACTGAAGTACTCGTGCATTTTACCTGTGGAGAAATGTCATGGCAACCAGAAGCAGGCCAATGGAGTGACTAAAGGTGGCTCTAATTCCCTTCCCCCCAATTCAGTCCCTGTATTTATCTCACAAATGTGCAATGTGCTCAGCGAGTTTAATAAACAAGATGCTTTGTGTTACAAATACAGTGTGCAGTAAATAAGTATTCAGACAGTGACACCTTTTGTCTGTTTCTGTTGTCAGACAATGTTTGAAAACAGTTTGAAACTGCTGCTAAAATCCAGATTTTATAACTACGACGTTGTCTGACTAACTCACCAGACACATCAGTTAAAGAATGTGTCTCTGGATTTGTCACTAGGAGTAAAAAAAAAGTGTCTACAGGCTGCTGAGTTGGCAACACTGCCTGTAACCCAAGCACCCCACCCCCCCACGCCCATGTCATGTCATCATGTTAGCATGTGTTACTTGTGTTTCTATCATAACTACATGAGTTGATTACATATTTTCAAAAAATATATGGCATGTGGTTGTCATCTCAGGAACTGAACTCTTAGGTAACAAGTAGGCAAGTTAGCCACACAATTAAAACCTACTTCAGTTAAATATTACTGGAGACATTTCATGGACTAGCTGCTCCACAGTGGACAGTCTGGCCATTGATGTGACACTGCTTTGGCTATCTCTCATAATGAAGCGACCATAGGCTAGAGAAGAACTGGGTCATGGGCTGTTTTGATGCTTGATGTTTTCTGTCACTGCTCCCAGAGGCAAAAGAGGACTGTACCATTCCTAACACTGAATATTGATTGGCTTAGATAACTGACTTCCACTGAGAAATGTCAGCAAAGGGCAGTGAGGCCATGCTGGCTTCTTTCCAAGAACAAACAAACAGTGTTGCCTCAAAGGAATAAAGACCGATGTGGAGGACTATGAATATCTTATCATGTTTTGTGTGAGGATGTATAAATTATAATAATAATAATAATAATATTAATAATAATAATGATACACATTACAAAATGTTTCACATGTTGTATTTGTGAAAAGACTGCCTCATTCTTGAGCCTCTGAATGGATTAGTTAACTGACAACTGACAGCCAGTGTTGCTAGAAGAAACACTTTCAACCTCCATGGTATGCTGCTGATTGATCATACAGATTGAATCTGTCTGTCCTTAACAACATTCATTGTTTGGGAGATCCCAATGTGGTGTTGTACACAATGTGTGGTCCATGTTACAATGGAAACAGAGCAGACTGTCAAAACATAGTTACTAGTATTTATCTGACCCTGTATGTGACTCCTCATGGAGCAACGCACAGTCACATACAGAATGCTGAGGTTACAGATGCAGCTAATGCCTAGTTCAGGTCAGATGGGACGGTATTGTAGAGATGGGAAATGGGAAAGATTCTCATGTTTATGATTCGTGAACATTCACATTATTTGATGACTCAGACAGTTGTATGATTATAGAGTTGTGTAAATGTAGCACAGATTTGTGAGTAGTGCTTTTCTTCACTATATGTAGAGGTGGACTTCATGCACTGTCTGATCACTGACTGACACGCATTTCCATAGATAATCCTCGTGCCAAGTCAGAGGCAACCAACAACCAACTGTGGTGTTCACAGGTTCTTTTATAACCTTGTTCATGCAGTCTTTATTTTATATATATTACATATCATATATATATCATGGAATTTAGTATCGCGGTCTCTGTCTCAGTTTCACAACTGTAACATCCCTATAAACAACAAACACCAGAGTCCCATGCAAAAATCATCCAGATCTGCCCCCAGTTATCATGGATTCCTCCCTGGCTCCTTCCCCATCGCTCCACCAAGTTTGGGTCTGCACTTTTGTGTTCTATATATAATCATGTAATCCTAATGACAAACAAACAGACATGGATAAAAACATAACCTCATTGGCATAGGTAAAAATAAAAGGTGTAATGCAATAATTAAAAAAAGTACTAGGACTATCTTCATATCAAGTCCCACAATAGAAATAGAAAAAATTATTTAGCCTCTAATGTTCCTCTTGGAGGCTGATAAGTATTTCTTCATACCATGATTGTGCCTAACCACAAGTCTTCCCATTACCAACACTGGTAAGACATTGCAATTACGTGCAATGCAGCTCCAGCTGAGAGACAGCAAGAAGGCCCAACTACTCATCTGCTGGATGAGCACAAACATAACATCTGTGCTCCACGGCTGCAATTACCTCCTGGTAAAACTAACCAGAGCACAGAAAGGTGATTGGATGGCCTGTGACTAGTGCTGACCCATAAATCTTATTGTCATCATCATCGCGATATGAACATGTGCACATCATGAAACATGATGAATTAAAAAACAGTTATTTTATTTACACACTCCTTGAATTCACAAGGTTTTCAAGCCTGGGCTGCAACCTCTCCTCTGTGACGCACACACATACACAATACACATACACAAACACACACACAGGTGGAGAGGAGTGAGAAGTGAACGTTTTATTGGAGTTGACAACAACTACGGTCGAGCAGTTTGTAATAAAATAGTAAGTATTTGATGAACTAACCCTAACCCTAACCCTGTTCTAACTGAATTGGTGAAGTCATGTCAGCATCACCCATGATAAGAGGCTTGACTTTCAAGTATACTTGATTGCAACACTGTTGCTACACAACAAATGTTTCTCTCTCCTCTGCAGAGTTTTCAGTGTTTGACAATGGCAAAAGTACCGACAGCTAAAGTAGCTAGCTAACACATTCAGACAGTAGAAAACAACAGTAAGACGCAGCTGGTGAGGTTGAGCATGATAAAGCTGAGGAGATCCTTAAAATGTGTCACAAATATTATTTCAATTTATTCCACTCTCATCCTTATATCCTGCATATATTTGAGTATATTTGAGTGTAGACAAATAGTTTTGAGCAGGAGCAGTGCAAATGTGCAGGCGACCAGAGGGAGGACCTGAACCTGAGGAAATGATGAAAGACCACGTTCTCAAATAAAGATGGAATAACTCCATCCTGGGTGTCAACCCATCCACCCACCCAGCGGACGCCGACTTTGATGCTCTTTATACGTCACCGGACTTCCTCCTTCGCTCCTGTCATAATTAATATGACCACTAGACGTCACCTAACAATAAACAACTGGGAGAGAACAATCTCCATTATACAGCTGTTTTCATACTTCAAACGTAGTTCATTGGTAAAAATTTGAGGAGTATCTTTTTAAATTGGACCTGAAATGTCATCTGTTTGTTTTCTAATTCAGGAATTTAAATATAATTCTAACTTTCAAAATCAGTCCAATGTGTGACAGCAGAGGTTCTTCAGTCATATTGTGGGTCAGTGGAAAATCATTTAACATCATTATTGTCTCATCTAACAGCTGCAGTGTGTACTGAGTGTGTACTGAGAGTGAACTGAGCGGACACAAAACAAACCACTCATCTGTGTAACAATGACTTACTTTGATTAAGTAAGAATTTGATTTGAGGCACAATTAAAAGTGTCTCACAGAGAGGCTCCAGGTTAATCCAGCTCCACTGACACTTCAAATAAAGATGAACCAAATATGATGTTGGCTAACTTTAAAAATGATAGATGGATAGATAGATAGATAGATAGATAGATAGATAGATAGATAGATAGATAGATAGATAGATAGAACAGCCAACATTGTTTGGTTGCTTAGTATGAGTTTGTAATGACTGACCAGCAGAAGGTTAATAAGGTTTAAGAGGTTAAATAGCTTTTGTAATTTTGTAACTTCATATAATGAAATAACAATACTAATAATGATTGGGTAGATGAGGAGATTATCATTCGCGGATATCTTAGCCATCCATTGATTCTCTATTCTACTCTCTGTTTGGTATCAGGTTCATTGGTCCAAAATCATTACACAACCACACTGACTGTCTTTCTTATAATTTCTCTATTATTTACATTCTTGTATTTTGTATTGTAAATATACTGTATATAGTGTCGTGCAGTATGTAAGCCTCATGCAAAGGCACACAGTGCAGATGTAAATAATGATAACAGACCATCATACTTGAGTCCAGTGGAGGCAGGCGACTGCACTGATTACTGCTCACGCGGCCTGTACTGATGTCAGATACAGAACCAGAGAGGCAGATTTATTATTAACCTATAACATGTTAGCAACCTCAGTCTCCCACAGTGCACCGACATTTAACAGCACTTATACACACCTCACTGATTTTTATTTTCCTCCTCCTCCTTTTTTTTTTTTTTGCATGAGGCTGCTGATTGAGCTCTGCTCCGCTGTCTGTCTTATGCCACACGTTCATACACACTGAGAAACGAGCTGAACGCTGGCTTACCTTCCACAGCCCACACCGCCGGCAGTATCCACAGAAAACACAAGAAATTCATAATCATTCCCGCTATCCCACAGTAAAACGCCGATGCGTTCATTGCGCAGCCGTCCAGCAGCGGGCCATTCACTGTGGATTCATTCAGAGCTGCAGAGCATCATCATCCTTATCATCAGCAGTGGTGGGATAAAGGCAGACGAGCTGCTGCTGAGGCCGGTTTGGGCGAAACCAAAAGAAAGGGGGCGGGAAAACACCGGAAAAACGACACAACACCGGCATCTCGCTGCATCAGCTGATCCTCAGGCGGGGCTGAGAAGGGCTGTTCGTTCAGTCAGTCAACACATCAAAGCAATTACTAGTGCAGCGTTCTTAAATATTAATTTGAGGTATTATACTAAGGTATATGTACTTTATAGCCCACTTCTACTCGGTTTTAACTTTTCAAGTTAAGGTTTTACGTAAAAATACATATAAGCCTATAAAATAAATGAATAGTTAAATATTAAATCAGTAGTTCATAACATATAAAGCAGCGCCTGACTGTGGCTCATTCTCACACATTGTTTAAGTTTTCTGTGGAACAAAGTGTTGAATTATTCTGTTTGACAGAAACAGGATCAGAGAAACATCTACTTTCTGTCAGTGTTGTGCAAGTTATCACTTTACCAGAGCTATAGCTCAAAGCTCAGTTCACACATCTTAAAGTGAACTAGTCACCTTCATTTCTCATTCCTTCAGTCACTGTCACTTCACAATCTAAATGGATTACTGTAACAAATACTTTTTTTTTTTACTTCACGCCCATCGTAGGTTCGGAACCATAGTTGGAAGCGTTCGGGTTATTTAGCTTGGCTCGTCAGCTGGCAAGTCCGGGCCACTGCTTTATTCCCATGCGGGCAGCGAACACAATTCCCAGCCTTTCAATACTTTTATGCCGCTATCCTGAGCTTATCTAGAAACTTTTTGCTGACTACCTGTAGCGTGTTGCTTCTCCAGCTGCACGGCATGCGGCGCAATAACCACGGGAGAGCTCTACTTCCCATCACACCTCAATCACTACGTCACACACACAGGTTACCCTTTTCACTTTTCCATGGCTTTCTATCAGTAATATGTGTCCCCGGCCTGTCTACAAACCCCCCAAACATGAGAAAAGTCCATCCTCTCCGTCTTTTGCTTGCGCCACCTTTCAGAAAATGTGTGCTCACACAGGCCAATTGGAGATTTTCCCTTGATGTCGTCATGAAGGGAGATGCCACCTCCCCCCAGGTGGGTGACACTCCCCGAGCTAGGTGTGTGTTCCGCCTTCTGTAGCGGGCTAACCATTTCACGTCAGACTGCTTTCTAAACGAGGGCCAGTACAATGCGGGATTCGCTACATTCTGAAGATAAAGCATGTATCAGCACCGACTGTCCGAGACCCAACTTCAAACTTGGGAGCTGTAAGTTTTACCATTTTATGTTGCTTTACTGTATGTGCACACTGTTGCGTGTGTTGTTAGCATAGCAGCTAATGTGGCTAACGTTTTGCCTCGTCCACACAGCCGGGTATAGCCGGGTATAGATTGTATGCAATTCTGCTGCTTGGTATCGCTGTGTGACGTTGATTAGAGCCAACCTGCTAACTTCATCACACTTGAAAGGCGTTTTAGCTGTCTGCAAAGGCAAGCCGGTAAAATTCAGACTAAACAGGCTTTACAGCGATTAGCATAGGTGTCTGGGCTTGTTTGTTAGTGCTGTGAAAGTTATTATTGAGAGTCATGCCTTATGATGGCCGTTTTAACGTTTATATCATGTTTACAGATACAGTGCCTGTGGGGAATATCTAGATAAGTGCACCAGTTACAGGGAACATGTGAAAGGGGATAGTCTGTAATAAACATTTCTTGCGTTTTGCACATATAGTGAGCTATTTGCAGCATTTACGAGCTATTGACAACCCAATTTACACATAATTGAGTGCATTTGTTATCATTTTTGCACTGCTTGCAGCTGTTGCCATAACTACACATTTGAGGAGATGTTGGTGTAACCTCTGTTTCCTCTGTTCAGGCCAGCACATCAAGTGCATCTATACAGCTTCCTGCAACAAGGGATGTTGCATGCCAGACTGACCCACTGTAGGCACACAGTTATCCTTGAGGACTCTTCAGCCTCACATCAGAAGTACAGGTCTGTAGCCATCTGAAGTGCATCTACTTTTGATAAACCTAACAGTCATTTATCAGTCTTGGAATGCTGTGCAGGTAAATGAAGCTGTGGTTACTTAGAGCTTGTGAGAGTGTGTAGGTAAGGTTTCTGTCAACATTAACATCTTTGATTTTCTCTTTACTGTACCTCCAGACTCTACCTGGCTGCCATGTACTACAATGAAAATGCTGACTGACCACAAGCCCAAACAAAAGAAGGTGAACCACTGTTCAAGGTCCAATTTCCAAAGGCCATGAAGGGAGAATGCAGAGCTACACCAGTTAAGACTGAGCCGACATTCTATAAGTGTTATATTATTTTATTTTTCAACCAAAAAATGTTTTGTACACATTGTATTAAGTATTGCACGTATAATGTTATGACTGTTCCACCAACAACAAAATACAGTAAAGAAAATGTCAGGAGGTAGTTAGAAACAGACTTTCAGTCATTGTTTTGTAAAAAAAAAAAACAACAAAAAAGTGAAAAATGTAAACAAAATCTTTTGTGTTTATCAAACAGGGAATGTGGTGGACCTCATATTTGAAAAAGTCTTTTTTGACCTGGGACCCTACACAGAAGCTGCTTTGGCCATCCCCATCCCAGAGGACCTCACTGCACAGTTCGAGCGGCCTGAGAAGGAGTAGGTCATATCCAGCTATGTGTCCCGGTTCTATCATGGGCCAGTCTGAAACCCACGTACTGGGGTCTGTGGCGTCAGGAAACTCGGCACTGATGCGTAGGACCAGGCAGGCTGGAATGACGACCCAGATTCTGTGACCAAGGAAGCCCCAGCACCAGCCCATAAAGCTCCTATAGGCTAGATACCTGTACCGACTAAAACAACTGGACAGGGCATTTAGTCTTGCAAACATATATATATGTTGTGTCTCACAATTTTTTTTATGGATCCAGTGAATCTTACAGCTTTTTTATTATCACTGATTATAAGTGCCTCATTTGATGTAAATAAATGCTTGATCGTTACTAAAGAAATGACTCCTCTGAATTCATATATTATATGCACAGTATCTGCTGATAGGAAAACTTTACAAATCAAAGAGCAGCCAAACTAATTTATTTGAGGGTGTGTTACTCCATTTGTGGTGTGTTATTACCATTGTAAAATTATGTGCACTGAAGTAAAACAAGACTGCCTAACATCTTTTATTTAGACTGAAACTATGTTTTTACAAAGAAGCAAAACGTACTGGTGTATTCCTCTCAACCGTAAAGTACCGTAGTCAGCGCGGTACATGTTGCAGACATTCTGGAGGGAGTACACATTGAGGCAGACCGGCTCCAACCCAGGACGGTGTACCATACATGGTAATTCTTCCTCGATCTCCCATAGCTGTCTGGTAACCTACAGTGAATTACAAATGGTAAATGCTATGGTTTATTATAAATGTAATGTAATCAAAACAAATTACTGATTAGTTTGTCTAGTGAGAATGCTACCTGTGGTATCTCCTAGCAGCAGATATTCTCAGCTTCTGTGGGCATGGTTGCACAGGTTCCACAGGAGCACCTATCCAAAATATAGAGAAAAATGGTAACATTCACCAAAATATAAAGCTTATGAAATTCAAAAACTGACAGACAGTGGTGCTAAGGTGGGTAAGAAGTAAGCTTGGCTACATATCAAGCGCATATAACAGGTAATTTATAACGTCACTTACTGCATATACTGTGGAGCTTGACAACAGTGTAGTGTAGAAAACTGCACAGTTCAGTCTTTGACTAAAGATTAATGTTGCTATCAGACATGTTTATGCTGATTTACAGCTTTTATTGTAATGCAAAAAATAAATTTACTACATAAAGGAAGATGTTATGATGAGCATCTCTGCCCAAAATATGGAGAAAAATTAATAAAAATCAAAATGATTTACCTTGTCAGCATCTATTAAAATATCTGACTAGTATTGACATTGAACACCTGTAGCAGTCCATATACAACATTTTCATAGACTGTAAAAGTATATCTAAGGAGGCATGACAGATAACTACATTACACAATTCACAATAGTGCTTATTTACCAAAAGAGCTCCCAGTAATGACGAGACAGTAACAGTTAGCATTAGCTACCTAGCTACATGTTAGTAACTGTGTGCCAGCACACATCAATAAACTGAAAATGTAAAGTCAAAATACACAAAATTGGTTACCAACCATTCAGAAACGTCCTGCTGCAGTTGTAGAGTTTGAACTTCTTCAGCAGCCTCTCCCTCTGGGTCAGATTCTGGATAAAAGTCGTGTGGTTGAACCAAAGCGCTTCCGACGCCAGGTCGCCGGTCACGGTCACCGTAAACATTAGATCATGGTGCCAGAAGCGCAAGCCGCATCCCCTTCCAGAGAGGGGCATGGTCAGGCACAGCTCATTTGCATTTAAAGCTACAGACACAGAAACAGAGGGGTTTACAGGCATGCTGAAATATAGGATCGGAGTGGATTTTTTAGCAAGAAACTTCAAAAACATGTGTTGGGGACCTCTGAGACTTATTTGAACTTGTTGAAAAGGAGCATAATATGTCCCCTTTAAAGTGGATGTCAGGGCTTGTGACACTAACCCCACTCTGGATGATGATTAAACCCTTAACATCACTCCAGCACTGTTATATCTAACAAAGGGAAAACATAACATTATTATACAAAAACATCCCCCACAACAACCCTTGTTTCCCACAGTCTTTGAATGAGTCCATCTCCTGTGGAAAGCTATTTAAGGCAAAGAGGCAATGTCCATAAAATGCCCTTAAAGCATATTGCATGCCCTTCTTATGTAACTGTAACCAAGTGTCCACAGCACAATATTTGCACACATACTGGAGGGAGGGTGGTGCTGATAATCAAACAACTTAACTCATATCTTGCGTGACATTACTTTTTACATACCTGACTCTGAAGGAGGAAGAACAAGGTAAT